TCCTTCCTCAGCGTTTCATTAACTGCTGTTGATATTCTACCTATGATGATTTTAGCAAGGATCTTGCTGGGTATTGATAGAAGGGTAATTCCACGCCAGTTGTTACAATCGCTGAGTGTGCCCTTCTTTGGGATCTTGATAATCACCCCTTTAGTCCAATCCTCCGGTACGCAGGCTTCTGTCCAAACTGTTCTGAAAAGTGGTTCCAGTATTCCAGCTGCTGTCTCTGGGTCTATTTTGAAAAGTTCTGCATTCAAGTTGTCCTTTCCTGGGGTTTTGTTGTTCTTCAGTTTCTTGATTGCTGATATAATTTCTTCTTTGGTAGGTAGATCGATGTTAATATCTAAATCTGTCTCCCTTCCACATATATTAACACTTTCTTCCGATGATTCTCTGTTAAGTATTTCTCAACAAAGCAGTGTGTGTCTATTTTAAAAGTTCAACAATGGCAGAGGTGTGCACTCATTGGGACAGTCAGGGGTCACTGTTTCCACAACAGATGAATTCCGGCTGAGCCCGTACAAACAGATGCAGCCAGGGATCCAGACACGCACACACGAAAACTGACGCATCAACCATTTTATTGTACCACAAGGGAGGAAAAAAGCAATTGAAAGGTCAGATAAGGGACCTGTTCCCTGTAGCCTTGATCTGATCCCAGGAAGGGGAGAATGGATGGCTCATGGATGGAATGGGAGAAGGACCTTCCTTTTCTAGGGGGCTCCTTAATCACCTTTTAACCGAGTTTTTTGGCACCATCACATCGTGTTTGATAGAAAGAATCTGATCCCTGCTCTAAAATCCCATAGAATAGACCAAAAGATCTCCCCGAGATACAGAGGAGTTTTATCCCAGCCTCTACGAATGACTTCCTCCACCCGCAATCCATTCTGAGACCAATCCATTCAGAGCATTTTTATAGAGTAACGAAGAGACCCTGCATTAGTCCATGGCTGGGAGGAGCCAGGCAAAAAGCCAGGAATACGGGTGTATCCATTAAAGCTGGTTCTGCAGAATGGTCCGGATCCAGGGGACAAAGGCGGTGAGTCGTGTGAACACGCTTGGGTCCCACAATTCCGCATCAACGTATGAAGCGATGCCCTGAGCCACTCCCTCACAAACCAAGGGGCCACCAGAATCCCCCTGGAAGGAAGAAGAACCACTGTTACATCTTGCACATCTGCAGCACCGGTTTTTATCTGCACACCTGATCGCATCAGCGCGGAGGTTTACATAATTGGTAGGAAATTGCTTTTGTGTTAAAACATGGCCTTTGGCAAATGGAGCAAAAATGATCATGTGTTGCTGTGTTTCCTTTTTTGTTTGGATAGCACTAGCTGGATTAGACAGTGATTGGTAGAGTTCAGTGTGATTTGGATGTGTTTGTAATGGGTACAAAGGGGCAGAATGAAGCCAGACAGAGGTTGTGTTGGGTAGGATTTGAATTGGGTGCAATGGGAGTAGGATAAGTTTGGGTAGATTTTAGTAGGAAGAAGAATGTTGGGTAGAGCTGGACAAGACAGGTTAAATTTATTAGAGACTTGGTATTGATGATGAGGATAATGCAGGACAAGGGTCAAGTTCAACAGAGTCGTGTTGGATGTGGTTTGAGATTGAAGAAGGGTAAGTTAGAGTTGTGCTGCATATTGTTCGGAGAGGGATTGAATTTGAGGTGGGATTGGTTGGGTTGTGTTGGGAAGGGGATTAATTTCAATGTTGATTTGGTAGGGTTGTTTTGAGAAGGGGATTGAATTAGAGGTGGGATTGGTAAGGTTGTGATGGTGAAGGAATTGAGTTTGAGAAAGGTTTGGTTCAGTTGTGTTGGAGAGGATTGAGTTTGAGGAGGGTTTGGTTGGGTTGTGTTGAAGGAGGATTGAGTTTGAGGTAGGTTTGGCAGGGTTGTGTTGGGGAGGGGATTGAGTTTGGGGCGTAATTGGTAGTATTGTGTAGGAGTGGGATTGAGTTTGAGGAGTGTTTGGTTGTGTTGTGTTTGAGATGGAATTGGTAGGGTTGTGTAGGAAGGGGGGGTTGAGTTTGAGGTGAGTTTGGTAGGGTTGTGCTGGTGAAGGGATTGAGTTTGAGGAGGGTTTGGTTGGGTTGTGTTGAAGGAGGATTGAGTTTGAGGTAGGTTTGGCAGGGTTGTGTTGGGGAGGGGATTGAGTTTGAGGTAGGTTTGGAAGGGTTATGTTGGGGAGGGGATTGAGTTTGAGGTGGGTTTGGAAGGGTTATGTTGGGGAGGGGATTGAGTTTGAGGTAGGTTTGGTTGGGTTGTGTTGGGGAGGGGATTGAGTTTGAGGTGGGTTTGGAAGGGTTATGTTGGGGAAGGGTTGAGTTTGAGGTAGGTTTGGTTGGGTGCTACGTAACCTTAAGGCTAGCTAAAGGAGTTACTCAAAATCGAGACGTGTGCAGGAGGGTTTGGAAGGGTTGTGTTGGGGAGGGGATTGAGTTCGAGGTAGGTTTGGAAGGGGTGTGTTGGGGAGGGGATTGAGTTCGAGGTAGGTTTGGAAGGGGTGTGTTGGGGAGGGGATTGAGTTCGAGGTAGGTTTGGAAGGGGTGTGTTGGGGAGGGGATTGAGTTCGAGGTAGGTTTGGAAGGGGTGTGTTGGGGAGGGGATTGAGTTCGAGGTAGGTTTGGAAGGGGTGTGTTGGGGAGGGGATTGAGTTCGAGGTAGGTTTGGAAGGGGTGTGTTGGGGAGGGGATTGAGTTCGAGGTAGGTTTGGAAGGGGTGTGTTGGGGAGGGGATTGAGTTCGAGGTAGGTTTGGAAGGGGTGTGTTGGGGAGGGGATTGAGTTCGAGGTAGGTTTGGAAGGGTTATGTTGGGGAGGGGATTGAGTTTGTAGTAGGATTGTGCTGCCGGGGGATTGAGTTTGAGGTAGGTTTGGTTGCACCTTCCAATTCCATCCCAGTATTGTTGTCCTGGAACCAGGGAGTGCCACATCAACAGACTTACCCGATAAGGTAATTTTCCGAGGCCACGTTCCCCCACACACAGCATTGTCGAGGTGTTGAAGCGAGGATACGCCTTACACAGATTGTCCTCCATCACCTTCAGGTCCACCTCGTGGAGGGTGTCAGTCGGTGAGTTGAAGGCAGTCCGACCCCACCCTGCCACGCTGCACGTAGGTCCTGGCCTCAACCTGAACTTTGCATTGGGCAGGCGGAGAAGTCGCACCCAGGTATTCAGCACTGCACTGCGTGACAACTACCATGGGGAAGAGGGAAAGCAGCGATTCAAATCTGCACACAGATTGGAACCGAAAAGGTCCAGCACGTCCAACACAAAAGATATGTGCCCACTGCAGGAGTGTGAGGTCACTGGGGGTGGGGGATGGGATGGGGCGGTACCTGCAGCAGTGTGAGGTCACTGGGGGTAGGGGATGGGATGGGGGCGGTACCTGCAGCAGTGTGAGGTCACTGGGGGTGGGGGATGGGATGGGGGGGGTACCTGCAGCG